AACCTGTCATAAAAACCGAACACAGTTTAGTACGACGTAAGGCGTAAACCCGTGTTCCAACAACTGTCACCCTACACTATTGAAGAAAATGAAGCTAATAGCTAATAATTGAATTTCCTATCATATATTAATCAATTGTTATTTAGAAAATATGATTTTTGAGTTATGGAATCCTATATTTTGATACCAAACGATTATGATTAATAAAAGGATGATTTCTTGGAATAAAGATGGTATTTTAACAACTAAAAGGGATCTTATGTGATGCATGACGGTAAGCTAGGGTGTTAACACTCGATGCTAGGCCGCTGATTGTTATTAGTTATTATGATGATTGATTGATTGTTCATTTTTATGAATATTATGGATTAATGATGATGAATATTCTGGATGAAATGATTGTTGAACTAAGAGTATGAATTGATGAATAATGTTGTTAAGGATATCTAGAAGAACTATAAGATATACCTATTAGCTAATTAATGTTAAAGACTATCTAGAAGACCTCTAGAATAGATCTTAGAATGAACTTATGAAAACATGAATAGTTGATGAATTAGATATAAATTCATAAACGGGATTCGTAGACCAAACTAGAGGATTACTTGTTGGGAATGCCCGATCCATTGTTGACCAATCGCTATATTGTTGTTACCTTAACTGACTACAGTTAAGTGTCCGAAATCATTTGCCTTAAACTAATGATAGTTTAAGTGTCTGATTGCCTTAACTGACTACAGTTAAGTGTCCGAAATCAATTGCCTTAAACTAATGATAGTTTAAGTGTCTGATTAATAATTGCCTTTTAAGAATGTGATTATGGAAATTATGATTTGGCCTTAGACTAAAAATAGCTAAGAGCATTATTATGATCTGGCCTTAGACTAAGAATAGCTAAGAGCGTTGTTATGATCTGGCCTTAGATTAAGAATAATTTAAGAGCACTATTGCAATGGTATTTGAATTGAATAAAATGTGTTGATATGAACTGAACAATACCAAAACTGTGAATGTCTGAAATGAACATTGTGTGTACGATATCAAATGATTGATTATGAATTTAGATTCCGTTTATATGGATGTTCGACACATTAGATATGCTTACTCAGCTTTACCGCTGAGCGTGTAGTGTGTTTTATTTGCTACACGCAGGTAAGCAGAAAGCACAATGTGATCCTGGCGGCAGATGAGGCGAGATTGTCGGGATGGATGTGACAAGTTTTGAAACAATTTATGATATGTCAATATTAAAATCGCTTCCGCANTATTCCCGTGTTCTCTTCATCGTCTTCGACGTGTATTCTCTCTAATGAATCTGCAAGATCATCACAAATATCCTTTCTCGCCAAGTGAGGATTATCTTCGAAAAACACAACGTGAGGGGACTCAACCTAGAGCATTGTGACGGACAACGACCCATAATTTAGCCGTTATTTTAATAAAAATAAATATAATATTTATTTACTCAAAAATATGAATTATTTATAAAGTTGTCTGTTTTGAATAAAAATTAGGTTCTTGGGTAGATCTCGTAAAATGGTGACCAACGATATATAATTTGTTAAATTTGGAAATACGTATGAAGTGTTATGGGTAAAATAGAAGTTATAGTTCAATAAGTTAATATAAAGATTTTTATAATATAATATTATAATCTTTATATATAAAATTTGAGAACTCTAGAAAATTGACATGTGGCACTTTTTAAAGGTGTGTTTTTTTGACAAGTAATGTTACACGCGTCTTCTTCTCCTACTTCACAGCAACCTTCTTCTTGGCCAATTACGATCTTTGCCAAAGGAACGAATCGGTTCACAAAAGTAAATTTTCTCTGCGCCTATCAAAGGAAACCCCAAAAATTAAGTCGTCTCCTCAAATCCGAGCCCGAGAAACTCTCGAAATTTTGCTGATTCCCTCTCTCTATTAGGTCTTCTCGCTTAATTAAGATCCAAAACACCAAAAATTGAGATTCAAAGGTGAGATTCAAGATTCGATGTGAAAATTTTCATCGGCACTACTCATTGCTGCTTGGTATGTTTCGATTTTTTCAATTTAATTCTTATTTTCCCATCATTTAGTCTGCATATTCAATTCATATTGTTCTTCAATATAATGGTTTTTCATTTAGTTTGAGTCTTGATTTATGGATTAGTTTACATATCAGAAATTTTACTCCGTATTATAATTATCCATGGCTTGGTGTACTCTCGAAATTACCATAATTCATATTCATGACTGGAATTGGAAATTTTCTTCCCTGCAACAATATCTTTAAATTGGTTTGTTTCCTTAATTCATATCTAATTGTTATTCAATTCGTATTCTTCTTGAATTATACCATGATTTGTTATGTATCCCTTTATTATTTGAGTGAGATATTTAAGGTCCTTTTTGCTTAATCTATTGAAGACTTGAAGTTGTAGATTGAGTTGCTTAATGTTATAAATTATATTAATTTTTTCAAGTTAAAGCTCTGCCCCTTTTTTTCTTTTTTCTCTAAAAAAATGTCCTTAAGGATAAAACCAATACTTTTGGGTTTATGTATTTTGTAGCTAAAATACATTAAGAATAATGCCTTTTATCTTTTTATTTTCAATGTATCCTTTTATGACACCATGTGAGATTTTCCCACATTTATAGCTGTGGTTTAATCTGTCAATGTAGCATACCTTTATATTCTTTTCTTTTTGTAGCAGTTATTTAAAAATGGCGTTGCAAAATTATTTTTTTAATTATTGATTAGGATTTTTTGCTTTCCTGGCATTGATGGAGGTTTTCATAATATTAACTAGGATTTATTGAAAAGAGGGAGTGAAAAAGTTTTTTTTGCAATAACATTTTAGGTTGTGAAACTAGACTAATTGAATCCTATATATGTGATGAGTAGTCATTTGGGTATTTAGTAACAAATTTGAAGGACCCATTGAATTGAGGCACCCTGCAAGAATTCAGAAATGTGAATCAACAAGTCTACGAGGGTTGGGGATGTGGATCATAATCAAGGTCACATTGTAATATGATGTTTACTTACACTATGCTTAGGTTCTAGAAATCTCCAAATGTATCCAATATCGAGTCTATAAGCCCTCAAATAAACGACAGATTTCCGTTTTGCATCCATTCCTATAGTTCTCTGTAATGTTTCACACTCACGTCTAAAAATGTTCACATTTTTGATATGTTCACTAATCAACCTCCTATGTATCAAAACAAACTTGGTTGGATTTTAAAAATTGTTGATATACCCTGCTTTGTCTACTAATACTGGTCTTGAATTTAATGGAAGCATGTTGTTTACACAATTTGTAGTAGGAGTTATTTTTTAGCTATTTCGGGAGGCATTTTTAATACCTTTTTGCTATGGTTTTAACATACAAAACTTCTTTTTTGCCAGGAATGACCCAAGAGCATCAACAACGGAGGTAAAAGCTCACACCTTTGGGTAAGATATAAGCATGGAAACAGGATGCGCCTTCTGATTCTGTTCTAGAATCATTGTAAAAAGTAAGTTCGAGAACAAGACTTTTTGTAATTGTTTGGTTATTCAGTATGCGTGTTTGCATGCAAGGAAGATTCAATATTATAAATAATTTTTCGTAAATAACCACTGTCATTTCTTTTTCCAAATTCC